AGGATCTAAAGAGAACTGCCTGCCAAGATTCGTATCCGTATAATTTTCCCTTAGTTTTTCCTTTACAAGATTGAGGACCTACCTCTCTGTCTCAGCCACTGCTTTATAACTCAAGTTAAACCGCAATGGCATGAAGCCTTGCTTTTATGTTATGTCATTGAGCAGAGTTTTTGTTAGAAATTATAGGCAACCATTCTGTTGGTTAATCTTATGCTAATCGTAGATTGTAACTAAAACCCCATCAATGACAGAAGTTTCGTATTTCAGCTAAGACTAAGAGTATATCTGGAAGCATAACAGACCATGTATAGAAACTAAAGCTTCCAGCATTGAAACATTTTAAATCAATGAAAGAATCCGTTAACATCTGCATTCACTAGTAACATTAAGATAATGTTTAGCACACAGATGAGATAAAAAGATATCCAACCAGGCTAACTACATAGAGGTATGCAGGTACCACCTTCTGGGTTCTGCTGTTCCTTCCATATCCGTCCTGTGACTCGCAGCTTCAGCTCTTTCCTATCCCCTCCAGAGAAGAAAAGTGCCATGTTGCGCTGTATTATGAGGCCATCATGGCTGTCTCTAACCTTCTTGTGGCTATCCCTTATGCTTCTGGGGTTGCCCTCCCAAATGAGCTTTCGGCCATTTCCTCCAACCTCCAGGCTGTAGGTGTAGTTCCGAGCTTCTGTTTCATCACCCATGAACCGGAGAAATGCCATGTAAACAGGACCCATACCAAGCTGGAATGCTTCAAAATGGAGACAAAAGTACTGACCAAAACAGTGGAAGACCTATCAAGGTTGAAAAATAAGACAATTACTTTGCTATCATAAAGATCAAAGCATAAATCTTGAATCTGCAACATAGTCATAATTCATCTAGTCTCAAATATTGATATCAACAGTCCCATGATTGCCATAGTCCCATCTTAATAGAGAAAGTTGAACCAGTAAGCTAAAGTGAGAATATTTTCAACGGTTAATAATGCAATTCCTGCGGTAACTTAACACTAATGCCCCCATATTGAGAACTCAGGGTTTCTTGATTTATGCAACCTCTACCTAATAACGGATCAGCCAGCTCAAGTCAAAATCTAGTGTAAGCCAACTAAGCATTAATAAGGTTTCTATTCATCAAATTCTACCTTGTCAACTTTTCATTTACAGTCGCAAGTTTTAACAGCCAATGAAATACATATATACTTACAGTTAGCATCCACGTGGCATTTTCTACTTCACGAGGATTAGACTTGACATAGCGATGGTTAAAAGTGCATCCAGAATGCATGTCCACCTTGTGATCATCCCGTAGATGAGTAACAAGGAATGGAATATCCCCAACAGCAGAGCAATCGGATCCAGCATATGGACAGTTGTATGGCCTGAAGTTGCAGACAGCCTCGTGTTTAAGTTTACTGTAATAGGGGAAGATCTCTGGGCAACCAAGAGAGCAGTACTTGCAAGGCAGTTCAAGAGATTCAGCAACCTTTTCCAGTGCTAGGCACCTTATGTCACCAAGCTCTTGTCTACAAGTTGGGCACCGGTTATGGACCCTTGTTTTACAGGTGGAGCAAAGGGTATGCCCATTGTGACACTGCAGAAACAAAAAATTTAGATTTATAAGCCATAAAGGTCAACCAATCAAAAATGAATTTTACAACCAGCTAAATATTAGAACATTGCCCATGCTTAGCCATCCCAAATAAATCTAAGGGTAGTGATTCATTGAGCATCCCTTGATTTCAATAAGCACAATATCCAAGATACAAGGTTTATCATTCAAACTAAAGGAAGACGCATCTAGAACTCAGAAAACTCACATCTTCAAACACATGTCACAACACTTAAAATGAAACACATATGATGGTTTACACCTTCAAAAAAAATGTCATGTGAACCTATATAGCCGTGAGAGCTGTGACAGTACATGGAGAGAGAGAGAGAGTACATAGGTCTCTACTCCATACGAATTAAAAGCACTCCACAAATTCAAACAAACAACTGATAACTTTCATCTGGAACAGCACTAAAAGGATTTTTGAATAAATAATATGAACTCGGAGCACCCAAATTTCAAACCAAATATTCCAGAAATAAAGCATCTTAAAGACCTCTAACCATTCTTGGCCACCTGGTAATACCCTTCACTTCACAAACCAAGTGGTAAACATGTTCTGAACAACATATTCACCAACCCCAGGTATTCCCTTGGCCACCTGGTAATACTTAATCTCTTCATCTAAATTACCAAAGCTCCTAATTGTTAGTATTCCCTTTCCAAACCAAGTGATACATATCCTCAACTATATGCTCACCAAGCCCAGGTATCCCAACACATAGACACGATGTTTCAATGAAATTTGTTGACTTTTGTACTCTATGCTTCCCGTTACTATGAACTCCAGAAACACACTTCAATTGAACTAAATATTCAAAACCTTTGATGCTGATCATTTTATCACAAAACAAAGTCAAACCAAACTAGAGCATTGTTGTAGATTGTTGTTTGGCTAAACAAATTATAGGATTCCAATTACAAGGGTCAACTCTGCTTTATAACAAATATCAGAAACTAATAGTATCTTCTACCCTATATTCCCTCACTCTCCAATCCAAAAAACTTACAAACCTAAACCCCAGAAATAAAATCTCCCCATAGAACAAATAATCAATTTAATACAACCTTCCAGCCTTAACCCCAAACCAAGCCAGTTCAACTGCACCACAAAAATTCAAAATCTTCAAAAATCAGCCACTCACAAATAAAAATATACCTACCCATTGCAAGAAAATTGAACAAATCAAGAGAGGCAAAAGCAGAAAATAACCCATTGAGCAAAATGCAAATAAAGGCGAACCTGATGGATTGGAGGGTACATTGAATTGGTGCAAACAGGGCATTCAAGAAGTTCATGGACACTGGTGGTGCCGGGAATGTTAATGCTATTGTTGTGAGGTTTTGGAACTGAAACAAAGTGGTGAGGACGGCCATGGATCTCATCCTCGTCCATCAAATCCAAAGATGTCACACTTTCAATGCCATCTGATTCCATTCATACAGGGGAAACCAAAACCCCCAAAAAGAATTTGGAAGGCAAAAAAGAAATCAAAATTTGGGCAATGTATATGATATGATTGCTACTGTACAAAGCGGAAGATGACGAAAGAAGAGAAAGAAATATCAAATCTTTCGATTCTTGACAGATGGGTATGATCCGTCAATACGCAATTCTACAAAATTCAACAAAGAATTGGTAGGAAAACGGGAAATTTTCGATTGCAATGTGTATAATAAGAAACAAAAAAATATTTTTCCTCAAAAGGGGTGCTTTTTCTTCGTTGGTTTTACAGATAGAGAGAGAGAGAGAGAAAGAGATGGGTCACCGTCCAGATAACATCAACCGTCTGATTAACATCAGACGGGTTTCATGTTCTGAAGAAAAGATTCAGTTAAGGGCTTTTCCATGGCAATTTGATTGGTTAATAGAAGAGTGGGGAATGTCGGTAAATTAGGGTTTTTTTTTTTTAACTTTTTATTTTGGTTATTAGCTGTGTTTTGTTACTGTGTAATTATTGGGCTTTGTTTCTTTTAACCAATTTTCTTTGTGAGTTGGGGGAGAGAGAATGAGATGCCTCTCTGCTGTATGTGGTGCACATTATTGTTTTTTTTTTTTTTTAATAACCAATTATGATGAGGGGGTATGCTTACCATTTGTCCTAAGATGGGTCCCCATTTTATTCTTTTGCCAAATGTGGGTCCTATTTTATCCTCACAAAACTTGCTACTTATCTGAGGCATTTTTATTATAAATTTATAGGTGGGTTTTGGTATGATCAGATTGTTTTGTGATGACATGAGGTTAGGAAGATATAGATTGTGTTCAAAAAGCCTTGCTGGTTAATCTGGAAAAACAATTTAGGTTTGTAAATTAACATTTTGTTGAGAGAGGAAAGTTGGACCCTTTTTTGTGGTAGCAAGAAAAGTTTGACTTTGGGGGATTTTTCACATTTATATACACAATCAAACTTTCAATATCTTATCTTATGACATGGGAATGAAGATGTGTTAGTTCAACTAGATTTGGAAGGTTTAAGCTATAATTCCCATATATTATACAGTCCAATACAATCCTTAGGTCGACACAAGTTTCACCTTGTCTGTTGGTTACGTGGTTTTGGATATTTTGAGTAGATTCAAGTTGATTTGGATTGGATTATTTTGGGTTAAATTCCTATGCACGACTAATGGCTAGATTCCGTTGGTTCACTAGATTAAGAGTTAGTTAGATATTATATACTTAAGGGCTTAAAAGTTATGTCGATATGTTTTTATGGAAAGAGTATTTCTTTCTTTGATCAATAGGAGGGGTTATTCGATCTTGGGATCTCTTTTAATATTGAGAAAAAGAAGAAGAAAAAAAAAGTACCACTAGATTAAATGTTAGTTGGTATGAACCGAATAATTCGAACTTTCAAAAGGCATGAATAGTTTTCTTTATTTTTAATGAAGGCAAATGAAAACATGAAAAGATGCACTTATGAACATAAATTCAATAGCAACATAGAAAATATAAGGATCTGAGATCCTCAGATATAAACTTTACCTCAGTTCAAAAAGGGCTTAAACAAACATAGAAGCTATGCCCCATCTATCTTCAAATTCAAAGTGTGAACAAAAGGATTACTCCTCCAGATATAAAGCTTAATGTGCCTAATAATAAGGGTGGTGAATTTAACAACTACACCATGGATTCTATTAGTTATGCCTTCAAGCAATTAAGTCATTTACATTTTAAGTTGAATCTTCCTTTTACTCAAGAGAATCCAACGTATCTTGCACGGGGTAGACACACACACTCACACACCACTTTGTGACAATTTTTTATAAAAATTTCTTTATAGCAAAGCAATGATGTTTACTTCCCATTTGGAAAACATAAATAAAAACCTAGTGAGGCAAAGGTGACTTGGACGTCTCTAGTTTCATAAGCATTCATGAAGTTATCAAGTCAAAATTTATTATATTATTAAGGACATATTATTTTAATAAGAATCATCTATTTCACCTGATCAGTGGTTCTGATTCATAGTCGGACAACGCAATATCTCAAATTATTTGAAGAACTTTAATTGTTACTTCTGGTCATGGGATAAGACAAATGCATGATGCACATCATGGTTTAAAAAGTAACATTAATAATAGCATAAAAGATGACTTGATCTCAACGTTATTAACATTAATGTGTCATTTTGTGCCACAAGTAGCCATCCAAAAAGTAGTTGAAATTGAAACCTAAAGTTCAGCTATTCAGACTTATCTCTTCGGTTATGATTCTTTGTCTGTGGATGGCATAACCAAACTGAACAAGGCAACAATGACACTTAACTTATTCTTATATTGCTGTAATTGTCAATGATTCAACAACAGCCAAAGGAAGCAACAAAACTTACAATGATAAGAGTAGCAGAATATGGAGATTCAGAAGCCTTCCCCCGCCATTAGCAATTTACTTCCAACTTCTTATTTATTCACCTCCCTTTTATGCATACATTTCGAAAGAATTAAAATACGAAAAATTAACATATGTTACAAAACCGGCAAAAACCAGACAAATCAATCAGTAACACTCTTCAGTAGACAGGAAAGTGGAATCTGGTCTATCCCATTGCATTGCACCACCAACTGCTCATTTTTCGATCAGGCTATTAATTCTCTCAATTAGACCACAAGCACAGAAACAAAGTGTCCAGTTACCACTGATTCGGGAAGGCTTCTCTGTAATTTGCATCCTCACCCAATGTAAGCTGTCTTACAGTGGCAGCACTTGCACGAGTATTTAAAAGCCTCTGAGCTAATCTGTCTTTTGGTGTCTCTTTCTTCTGCAGCATTGAGGCAAGGGCTTTCTTTTTGTTTCTGGATGATCGGTTCTCACCATTAGTTGCCACCCAATCTTCTCCAATATCCGCAGATCTAGAAGTTGAAGCCATTGCAGCATCACGTAAAACTGCTTCATTGTGTTCTCGTATTTTTGCAAGCTTTGCACGCTTCAGTGACTTTTTATCTATTTCTCTCTTCCTTGCCAACTCTTTATCTTTTTCACGAACATTCTTCACGGCTTGTTTCGCTAACTGCTCCACTATATCTGTGCCTAAATCAGGAGTTTTCTCATCTTTTGAAGGGTTCTGATTGAGTGGCTTTCCCTCATCATCTCTGGGTATAATAGGTCCATGAAATGGGCAAGTTCTCAAATCTCTTCTCTGACAAAGTTCTCCTTTGCTTAGAGGAGCTCGGCATGGTTGAATTTCAACCTGCTGTTCTTTGTATAGAGTAGTCTGAAGATTTAATTCCGCAATCTTTTCTGCTGGAATAACTGCGTCCTGATCCACCCTGCCCCAATGACTTTCAAGCTCCAATCCCCGATGGTTAGCCAATACATCCCTCTTTGAACCCCAGTTGTCCAAATAAGAGCCCCAATTCACCTCTGGAGCTTCAGCCAAAAGCTTACTCCTCAAAGGGTCTGAATTGGTTGCTCCATCTTTACGACTGAGCCTTTTATTGCCATCTCTCTCATTAGCATGGCATTCAGGAACTCTGTCTAGTACCTCCTTGGAAGTTGATGCCACTGAATCTTCAGTTCTGTTATTGGGAATACTAGAACTCTTACTCTCAATTGATCCAATCTTGCCTTCCTCCCAAAAATCTTCTTCTTCATGATTTGTAGTGTTTGGAATAGCACAACCCGATTCTTCACACTTCTTCTTCACTGATCGAATATGATTCCGGATATCAATGAACTCCTTCAAATAAGAATCTCTGGCCCTGTTATCAGTCAGTTCAACCCTTACAAGAACAGAGATCCATTCTTGCACTGCAACCAAATGCTTCATTACCAATAGCTTGTAAAGCTCTCTCAGTGCATCAAAAACTACTTTGTTTTCACTATTCTCATGAATTTTCTCTGCTTCTTCCAACGAATGTAAGCGCAACTGCCGGAACTCATAAGAATGAAACTCTTCCATATCTTCATCATCTAAAGGACACAAAAGTTCCTCTTTAGCACGTACAATTTCTAAACACTCCCCAATCTCATCAGCTGTTGACTGTATTTCTTCCTTCATTGATGCAAAATTCTTTTTCAAAGTCTCAAACTTGTTCAATAAGATCTCTTTCGACTTCTTCTCCCTTTCCCTTCTTTCCTGCTGAAGCCGAGCCGCATTTGCCTGTAGATTTGGGAATTGATACTTAAGCGTGTTTTTAAGGTAATCAAATCCTAATCTAATCTGCCTATAATGTATCCCAAATGAAGCATTCCACTTCTCCAAAAACTCAATTGCCTTCGAACGCAGAGCAGTCGCAACATTTGTCGGACCTGGGAGTGGCGAATTGTGTCTAAATCCAACACTCAAAGTCAATAACTGATCCAAACTCTCCACAACAAGGGTTCTAAAAAGCTTTGACCTCATAAAAAGCTCATCGATTATAAGAAGTGTGAGGTACCGGACCTGCAAAATTTTTACTTTAGCAAAAACTTCTTCTCTCCCAAAAATCATCATACAGAAGCAATATAAAACCCTACAATTTTTACACACACACACATCAAACAAAAATTTCCAACAAAATTGAATACCAGAGTGATGGAGCATAACATACTATCAAAGACTATATCTTTATTTCCTTAAAATTTCAGCAAAATGAAAAGGCAAAAGAAATCTAATTTGACAACCTCTCGAATTGTGCATCGCAATTTTATAAATAAACCCTAGCCAAAATACACTACATAAATTTCAATCAGAAACGCAGAACTGAAACTAAAGATCAATTCTTTTATCGAAGAAAGAGAAATTATATAAATACAAAGGACCTGAGAGTGCTCGCGCTTCATAAGATCCATGAGAATATGGGCGGCGAGTCGGAGCTCCGAATCGGAGCGGCGTACCACCGACTTGATGGCCTTGAGGAGGCGCGGGTCCACCTCTGGTTCGGTCGAGGTCGTTGCCTTCTCTATCAAAACCCTCACCTTCCCTCCCCCCTCTTCTTCCATTTTTCAATTCAGCCACGCAGAAAAAGATAGCTTCTTTGAATTTTCAAAATTTTAGGATGATATATAGTCTGTCTTTTGGGGTATTTTCGCGCTGAGGAAGGAAGGGGTAAAATGTCAAAATCTGAAAGTTACGAGGGACGCAAAAGATAAAGGGTCTTTGCTATAAAAGGCCCCAGTAAAATGAGAGCTAAATTAATCCAATTAAATGAAAAGGAAAAAGAATATTAATAAATAAGAATATTAAGAGAAAAATTGTCATAAAATTTCTTATTAATTATTTTTTTTATTACTATAAACAAATTTATTTTGTTCTAATTTTCAACTTCAATTTCTTCTCTTTTTTCTTAGAATGTACATAATTAAAATACAATGAGAAATTTTCATAATGGGCCTCCATCACCAAACCTGCTATGAAAACCCCAACTAGGGATTATAGCCCATTCCAAATCCAAGCCCAAAAAATCAAAAACCGAAAAAACCAATCCCAATAATGTATTTCCACTTTCAATATGTTTTCCACGTGACGGTGCGACTAACACTGAAAAATTGATCAAGCGGACATGGATTTGATTAGTATCAAGTGATCAGTTAATCAAAATAGTGAACTCTCTCCTTGCATCCAAGTTCGGGTCCTACTCGAAGATAGTTTAGTACCCAAAATTAAATAATTTATGCATGAGATTACTTGGTTGACTCGGCAAAAGATGGGATCATACACTCGTTGATCTTTTGACCCAAAAAATAAAATTACTCTTTGATCTGTGGCACATGGACGACGAATGGCCACATGTGTTGGGGACAGGATATTTAGGATGTAGGTTCCTCTCTTGTTCTTCCACGTGTCTAATTTAATAAATAATATCTGAAAACCAATACAATATAAAGGATTATTCATTTTTCTTCTAGATCTTCATGAATTCTCATTTGGTCCGAAATAATACAAAACCCTTGTCCGAAATCTCCCAACATTGTCCGCGGACCATGATGTGGTATTGAAGCAGAAGCAAGCCATGTGCATGCGTATGTTCTAACTTAGTCATCTCTTCCTAGATCAAATTATCTGGTTAGATGGAACTTTAGTGCTGCAATTAGAATGACAATGGAAAAGTTAAGATGAACAATGGTGAATGGTTCTACAAATGAACACTTTGATGCACACGTTCGGTAATGTTATTGGTACATGTTAACAATATTGAGTACAACTACTTAAGATTTCTGTGAGTGGACGTTTTGTCTTCTGTAGATGGTAATTTTGTCAGTATTAATTGAGAATTCAATCAACTAATGACTACTTAAGATTTTTGTGAGTGGTTTTTACAAATGAATACTTTCTCATACGTTGTTACTAATTTTGCCAGTATCAATCGAGAATTTAACTAAGTATGAACTATTTAAGATTATTGTAAGTGAATTTATAAATGAAAACTTTTCTAGTCGAGGTTTAATGAATCTACATACATCTACAAACTACAATTGTCATATCACTAGCTCGAGAGAATCTTACATGCCCTAGATTTATGCGACAATTGTTCGTAAAACACACATCATGTGATGTGTGTACTTTATGAGTTTTTGTAAGAACAATTGTCCAATCAGTACATACGTTTTTCCCCACTAGCTGAACCCATTACCCATGTCCAAATTATGCAACTAGGAGAGGAAACCATTTACTCGAACAATTTTCACCAACAACATTACTGCATCATTTGGTAGGGTCAATATCTAATTTTTGAAAGCGATGAGAGAACCCATGTTGCAGTGTTGTGCATTCATAATTGTAATTTCATCAAGGATATTGCTGTACTTGTCTTGTGTCCACACACACCTTTAACTTTAATGTTTTGTTTTGCAGCTAGACCCCATTAAAGGGGGGAGAGAAATAGAGGGAGAAGAGAATTGGCAATTGCCATGCTCTTTCCTATCCAAACCTACCGCCACTAACTTTTTTGACAAATTTTTCTTTCCATCCACGCTGTGTGTTATTATTGATTGAAATTTCCAAATGAAAGCTCACTTATCATCTCTCTCGCGCACACACACACCAAACCAATGAAAGTGAGAGAAGAGAAATATCGTCACAAAGAGACAAGCCGATTGTACGTGATCGTATAGTGAGGTAACCGACGAGATTGAGAAAATGACATCGTGTTTTGTCTAAAAGTAGAAGGTCCATGTGCTTAATTTGACTTTACACCTCGAGCCTCTATTCTTTTAGATCATGAGATGATGAGGGCCTCTTTTCTTATTCACTACTCATTTTCTTCACATTATCAATCAAAACACCCCCTAATTCCAAAAGTATCTTCCTCAATACAACGCTTCTAAGTTCTATTACATGATCAATGTAAATCTCTGATCGATTTCTGATCGTTAATTAAATATACATCAAATGAGGTTTCACGCACACACAATTGACCGTAACACAACTCTGAAACCTCAATTGATTGACCGTAACACAACTCTGAAACCTCAATTGACCGTAACACAACTCTTTCACAGTAAGGGTAGTGTAGGTAGTAATTTCATATGAGAATGCAAATAAAACTGTCATTACGAGTCAAAGATGGTGTGTTTATTAGAAAGAAGAAAAAAAGGAACATGATTTGTTTAATCTCAGCCATTACGAAGATTCAAAATCAGCTTGGTTAAATAATAATTGTTCAAGTGGATAATACAATACAAGAAACAACACGTGAAGCTTGTAAATTAAGCAGTAAAAACAACACAAACATCTCAAAATCCTATTCTTTCATTCATCATCAGATCATGATCCTAATGCAAGGAAGGAAGGTTTGCTCTTCCCGCTTTGATTTTATAAATAAAATAAAATAAAGCAAAAATTAAATTGGGAAAGGAAAGGAGGGCTTTTTCTGTTTCTCATTACGCCACTACCAAAATTACTCAAGCGCAGCCACGTGGGGCGAACCCGACCCGAGAGCTTGCCAGGTCATACACTACCCGGAACCCCTGCTGCTGGATGTTACCGATTATGGACAACCCGCCCATCGTACCAGCGAACGCAAAGCAGAAGCTCCCGCTACTGTCCACGGGGATCAAGTAGTTCGTGGCCGGCAGCGAAACGTCAGCGTTTCGGAAATGCAGCACCACGGTCGGGACTTTCACCTCGCTTCTACCCGACAAGTCGAAACACGTGTCGAACAGAGAGAACTCGGGCGCCCGCTTCAGACCCCTCGTCCCGGCCCGGAAAGCGTCACGGAGAGAATTGTAAGCGGCTCGGGTCAGGCGCGTCACGGACGTACCCGAATCCAGAATGACACCTCCGTTTCCAGCCGCGTCGAGCTTGAAAAGCGACGCCGTGATTCCCCGGACACGTGCCCCGCCGACACTGATACCGATTAGCTCGACGTAGTAAAACGTGTCCAGTTTCGGGTTCGCGAGGAGCGGAGTGAACCGGGCGGTCCGAGAAACGGCCGAGTCACCGAAGACGACGGAGGACGGTTTGGACGAAGCGGACCGGTCCACTAGACAGTAGGAGAATTTCTTGTTGAACCGGAACCCGGTCTGGGTGGGAAATGATAACTTACCCCGGCCGAGCCCCAGAAGCCCCGCCGCACCGACGAACAAGCCCTCGTTGTCGTGACCGCATCCGAGCGCCACGCGTCCCACTTTGGTGCCTCGAAATGTCAGCGTTTCGGTGGAGAAATCGCCGAAAGTGAACGAACCGTCGCCGTAGGAGACTTGGTATTGGCAGGTCTTCCTGGATTTGCAGCCCGGGGAGTCGAGCTTCCGGCAGAGGGGGGACCCACAGGGGATGGTGGAGAAGGTTCCCGATTTCCTCGGGTCGAAGACCGGGTCGGTCTGGGAATAGCAGCGCTTGCAGGGAGCGCATTGGAGCCAAACGACGTCGCTTCCGGTGTCGAGCACCATGTAGACGTACTTGGGAGGCGTGCCGACGCCGAGGCGCGTGAAGTACTCGCCGCTGCCCTGCGCGAGTCCCGAGACGATGGAGCTGCTGAAACCCGTGACGGGTACGCGACCGCCTCTGGCTGTTCTATTCGGCGACGCGACGGCTGCGGCGATGGAGGTTAGGGTTTTGACGCGGACGGCGTCGCGCTGAAGGCGGAGGTTGAAGAGTTGGGAGGGGGTCTTGTTGAAGGACAAGGCGTCCAAGTGGTGCAACTGTACGGACAGAGTGTTCGGGTCCGTGCTGGTTGTCGGGTCAGGTTGTACGGTCTCGGACACGGATTCGGGCCATGAGAGGGTGGGTGGGTTGGGTAGGGGGTTGAGGAGGAGGGTCTGGTGCTCGAGGGCGGTGGAGAGAGAGAGGAAAATGGCGGTGAGGGAAAAGAAGAGAAGGCCAAGTTTTGCTTTCCCTTCCATTTTGGATCGCAGAGTTTAGAGAGAGAGAGAGAGAGAGGAAATGGAGTTTAGGGATGGGGAGAGAGGAGAGTATAAATAATTGGAGTGAGAGTGAGAGTGAGTGTGTGAATTCTGAAAAAGGCAGTTCTGCAGAGGCTGAAGTTAATCAGTTTTTTGGTTGGGGGTAAAGATGTCAGATTGTCAGATTTATTGTGTTTATCTATGAAGGAGGAAAATTTAAAAAAAAAATAGTTAATAAATTGTTCACCAATTAAACCTAAACTAATTTGTTTAGAACTTAAATATGATTTGTGGAATTAGATGGAAGTTTATCCTTCAACTAATTTTATTTATGACATGTAAGTGAAAGGACAAAAGTGTCCCTGGGGTTTAAGTGGGGGGCAAACAAATATCCCGAGTTCATTTGCTTGGGCTGGTGAAAGTTGGGTTTGTATTAAGTATTGTTAATGAATGCTTTATTTATATCAACAAAGATTAATTGGTGAGTTTGAGCTGGCCAGGACCACTTTGAGACTCGTAATGGAATGATTTTTCTATTTGATTAAGAAAAGGCGTTTCTATTCTCATATTTGTTTTTATCATGCTATCATTTTTAATTGGAGTCATGTTGTATATAATAGGACATTATGATAAAAGCGGAATTTTTTCATCATCTTACTTTAAGTACATTGAAATCGAACTCGAGTATAAGAGGGTAAATATAGCATCTTAGTCAACTAATTTAACGCCCGCATATGCCCATTCTACCTTGTTAGTCCTAACTTGTTTTCATTACTCGATCTAAGATGGAAGATGGTGTTTATTCATCGAATTATACCGGCTGTGGTAATCAATATCACGGGTGTGTACAGTAAAAAAGAAAGAAAATTGCATGGTGGACTTGCCGATTGCCGTGACCAAATTCCCACAATCTCGGCAGGATTTAATGTGGGTTGGTCATGAGATGACCCATGAATCCTGATGCATCATTTAATCATATCTAACCATTCAGATCATTATACCTTAGGGTTTGACTTTGGAAAATGAAAACATGAAATTCCCATGCAGCCATTGCCATTGATTGTGCTTTGGGGGGGTCAAGCCAGAAAAAAAGGAAGGCATAATATTATATAAGAGTCTCAAGAAATTCATGCCTCCTCCATGCTTGTTTGTCACAGAGCTTCTCGGTGTTTCCCCGTGACTCTCTATCCCTTCTTTGATTTTATTTTCAAATTAATATGCACATATAAATATAAAAAAAGCCTAATGAAGTACAGAATCTAAGTACCAGATTTGTCTTGCAAAGTTTCGAACTAGAGCTTCACATGGTGGTTTTCAACAATAGGCCAATATGAGTAAAATATTTATTTTCGAGATTTCAAAACAAAATATAGAAAATGGATCTACATTGTTACACACTGTTTAAGGTATTCTCACACACACTGTGAAGGTTTTATGGGAGTTCGAACTTGAGACTAATGGTCTACAAGTCAAGGTCTTTTTCCACTAGGTTAGACCGCGTCGACGAAAATTGATCTACAATTTAGTTGCATAGTTTGGTTCTCGGTTGTGAAATGGAATGAAAATGATGAAAAATATATTTGGTTTTATGCAGATATGTAAGAGTCAGGATTAAGAATTTGAAATAAATTATAACCAGTGAACATTGTCACTTTAAAAAAAATGAAAGAGAAAAGGGTTTCTGGTAAGGATGGTTAGGCTGAAGAGTTAAAGAGTAGGGCCATGGCCCTGCGCCAATATGAGCAACCTTATAATTGAAGCCTACTTGAATAACCGCGTGGGGAAAGCACTAAAGCTAAAAAGAGCAAGAAAAAAAGAGGAACCAGCAACTGGAAAGAGCATAAAAGCGAGGCAGAGACTCAATAAAGCATTGCAGGCTTAAAATTTAGGCAACAAAAGACAGATCTGCATACCCAACAAGATAACCTTTTCCAAACACCCAAGTTAAATTCAATGATACTGCAGCTAGTGATCTTCTTCCTTTTTTCTCTGAGCAAAAGAAAAAAAGTTGAGAAATTCACATTAGCTTTGTCAAAGGTCATATCCAATTCATATTCCATTTCATCCAAAATGGAGAACTTCCATTACAATGTGGCATCTTTCACTAAAGCATTAACCTGCAGATAGTGACATCTTGCACTTACTCCTTCCTGGACCAGTCCCCACTCTTCCCACCAGTTTTACTCTTGAGTCGTATATCAGTGATCTGTATAGACTTTGAGGCAGCTTTGCACATATCATAGACTGTTAGGCCAGCAACACTCACTGCTGTCATTGCTTCCATCTCAACCCCAGTTTTCCCTGTTGAACTGGCTTCTGCCTCAATATCCACACTGAAATCCTTGGGATTTAGTGTCAGATCGACACGAACATGGGTCAGTGGTATGTTGTGGCATAGTGGGATGAGACTACTTGTGTGCTTTGCTCCACTTATTCCAGCAAGTTTTGCTACACTGAGGACATCACCCTTGGCCATCTGGTTAGCTAAGACCAAATCAAACACCTGCTTTCCAAGAATTACCTTGCCACTAGAAATGGCAGTTCTCTTACTGCTTTCTTTGGGAGAAACATCCACCATTTGGGCTTCCCCTTTATTGCCAATGTGGGTTAGGCCAAGTTCACTTTCGACTTTTTCTTGAGGTGCTAACTGGGGTTCTTGAGGCATAAAATCATTACTCGGAGAACTGGCAGGCCCATTTGCTGGAGGTTCACCAAACACGGATTCCATTTCCTGAAACCAGGATTATAGTTACATGCCTTAATGAATTTTCTTCAAAAGAGAAAACTTTTCACATTAGATACTGAGCAATTATAAACAACTACGAAATATTTCTTGAGATAAACGCTAAAGCTCGAATCTGATAACAGAAGATAACTTCAAACACTGGAATTATCTGTTTGAACGCAATAATGTATGAGACAGGTCTCCTTTCTTTTTTTTCCAAGAGGCTCAAGTCCTTTTTCTGCATTATTCTTTTGAATTTAAGTAACCAATTACTCTGAAGCAAATAAGCAGTGGTGCATTTCTATCCTCATTGTCTGCTATAGTGCATCATATTAGTTGAATCTAATAGCAAAGCAAACAAAGGCAGGCAACTGATTTCCTAACCCAGTATTCAATTGTTTTCAAATCATTCAAAACAGCTGGAAATAAGAACCAACAGACTCTGTACATATGCAGCATAAACAATATTTTACCTTATTAAGCTCAGCAATAGTTCTTGCAAGATCATGGCTGCTATTACTGCTAAGAAACCTTCTCGAGCGAGAAGATGCTACTGCAAGTCTCCGAAGAAACATGGCCGGCAGAATCTAGATTGGGAATTTCAGCTGCAAGTATCGGAAAAATATCCAACTCTATTTGGCTTCTCAAAAAAGTAGAAAGATAAAAACCATACTGACATTAACTGCCTAACAATTTTGGAAGGAAATAAATTGCTTTTGGAAGCAACATTTGCTACAAATATGAATGATTGAGTAAATGAGATACATAAATGATAAAACCCAGTTCTTAGTCAGGCAATTTAACAAACACTTTGAGGTCATCATCTAAAAAAAACATGAAACCTCCAATTTCAGAGGGGAAAATTTATTTTAAGAATTCCGTATTCATTACAAGAGAGAAGCAGTATGAGGAAATTATAGAGAGCTCGAAGCCATGCAAAGATTGGGTAAAGTACGTACCTTAGTGAAAGCAGCTATTGGCGAAGAGCATGTACCTTCTGCGTTTGCGCTGCATTTTTCAGACAGGAGGGCTTTGCGCAGAGGAGAGGCCCAATAGGAACTAAAAGTGGGCCAAAATAGAAGTGAAAGATATATAGATTATAGCAAACGTATTTTCGAAAAAATACTTCCATTTTCGTATAAGTCTAAAAAATACGAAAAATTACGCATTCTTTTTTAAAGCAAACGTATTTTTCACATATTATATGCATATTGAAGTATTTTTCACGAATAATAAACATTTTTCTTGATTATTTTTACAATAATACACATATTTTTCACGTACCGTTGAGAAAAGAACTATAAGTAACAAATTTGAATATAAATTTAAATTTTTTACAATGGCAGGATTTTTCATCATATATTTTTAAGAAAATTTGTAGAATAATACATGTATAATATTATACTCGTGCCGTATTTTATTGAGTCATTTGTAAGTAACAAACAAGTTAACCTTCGTAATTTTTTTTATGTAGAACTTGGTGGACTCATCTTTTACTTTCATGGGCGCTAGATTGACCTCATCTGGATTGTTGAATGCCATAAAGACAACAAATGAGAACTTTTCTAGAGAAAAATATAACCTTCAAGATTCAAGGTGAAAAAATAAACCACATGACAACAACTAGTGTCAAAGTCACACCAAAAGATAAACTTTAGGAATAGGAGAGCGAAGGGTGTAACAGCTAGTAACTTAAGTTGTTTTTGCAAGTACGCAATTAGCAAAGCCTTATACACGACGCCTTCTGTGAATGCATAAAATTCTGTTATTTTTTATGAGATCATACAAAAGTAGATTAGAAGCCTTGTAGTTCTTGCCCAACTGGTTACTCCTCCTGTTCAATTTTCAATGGGTTTGATGTCCTACAAGAAAAGCCATACCATTCGTTAGTGCATGGAAAAAATAAGGTCAATAGAAAGAACATAAATCTTTTAAGATATTAAAAACTATTTGTCAAATCAAAATACGCTATGCAATGAGAGCACAATTAAGAGTCGAGCTACTGTTAGTCAACAAATTAATGTGATATTTGTACATTATCCCCCATCGAGGAGAAACTTGTGTCGACTGTTCCTTGCCACGTAGCAGTCACAACAAATCAGTCCAGTTAAAAGATGATATAGTTTGCAAAGGACCCACTAGTGTAGTGGTTTGGACTAATTGTTCCCTCAAGCAAGGTCCCGGATCCGAGTCCTAACATCTGTGTAGTGTGTATGAGTTTAGTATATCATATTCAAACACAGAGCCTCAAGTACATGAGTTTTTAAGGAGATCACTACATTTCGATTCAAAACTGAATGATTTATTAAATTCTTATGAAATTATGAACATTGAAGATTATATAACCAAAATCTAGGTACTAAAACTGATTATACTTACACGGGGGAAGTTATCAGCATGCTTGCCATACAACGTTTTCATTGTATTTGTGTTTGATTGCCACCATATGCTCCCATTCATATCTACTGTAGATACTTTCCACTTTTGCTTTTGAAAACAACTTCTCTTGTCTTCATTGATTGTTGGGGGCTTCACAACCAAGGTTGTTCATGGAGCAGCTCCAACATTGTCAATGAAGTCTCCACAAAGCAGCAACTCCTTCAAGATTGACTTCAATAGGCACACAGCATAACCAAACAATTGTCTGGCTACTAGTATGTTGGGTAACCACTAAACCCCAAAAGCTTAAACTGTTAGGGAGTGGGCCAACAATGTATGCAAAACCAACGCCCTCATTCACATAGTCCCTTACATGCAGCTCCATCCTACAACGCGCAAACACGTCGAACAAATGCAGGCATAGAGAAACATAAATGTACAACCTCATCCTCCACCTTGCAAATTAACAAATAAGTGAGAGATTTCGTTTGGAGATTTCGAACCCATAACCTCTTGCCGTTAGAGCTCCATCCTGAAAATTTTAAGATGTTACAATGTTTTTGGATGGAGAAAGTAAAACATAGAATTTGAACAAAACCCAGAACTTCTAAAATGACATATGCTAATTTCCTTATGTATAATCAGGAAATGTATAACTTCTACGCGGTTCAAAAATACTTGGAATTTAGTCATAAATCCCATGTTTAAATCCACGTGAAGTGGTGTCATTTCCAAAACCTCAAGACAATTCAGTTTTGAGAAGAAAAACAATATAACCATAATCACCACCACCACTTACCTCCACCATCATTGCCACCACCCTTACCATTACCACCACACCCGCTACAACTCATTTATAGATTTTTTTTTCTTTTTCCAAGCGATATTCTAAACTACTATAATACAGGGAGGAGTATCAAACTCCGGTACAAGAGGGTGGACACATTGCCTTGACCAACTAGCCTAACCCGCGTTTGCACTCATTTATAGTTTGATACATCCATCAAAATAAATTTTATGTTTCGTATTTAAAAATCATTAACTCTTAAACTTCCTCATCCAAGCGCCAAAGTTGGGAATGAACCAAGAATGGGTTGAGACCATATGACATCTCAAATGAGAATGTGGGTCAAGATTATGAAACAAGTATAATGTTCTCCTTCTCAAAGAAAAACTGTGGCTGCGCAAAGTATGCATCAACAAGGGAATGCTAGGTTATACGTAAGAAGAAACTCTATACTTTGTGATAATGAACGAGACACAATCCGAGGCACACCTTATGAGCACATAGGGACTCTTGTGGCTTCGTGGAGTCTTGAGTGTTGGGGTCGGAGCAATTGTAAGAAAACTTGCTTGGTTGAACCACTAGATAACTTGACCAAGGTCTTCAAACAATGCCAATGTGTTCAATATTATATATATATAATTTAAAAAATAGTGTAGAATGCAAAGGGCTTGTAGCTCAAGTGGTTAAGAGCATTTAACCATGCACCCGAGGTCCTAGGTTCGATTCCCCCTTCCCTAATATCGCTTCGCTTGTATCAATGACAAAAGAAGTGTAAAATGATGTCATCATGCTGACATGGTATGACCCACCTTTCAAATAAATGACATATACTTTAAAACATACCATTTAACTTCTCGGTTTGATTGATAAATCCAGTAATTTATACATCCCTCTAGATTCTTACTCTATTTGAATTTCAAATGGAGGGACTATCCCTTAATATAGAGCCTAACTCACTTTAATGAAAATTATAGACATAAAACTACTATATTACTAGGAAAGAAAAACATTTCTAAATTCATTCACACAGCCAAAAAAAAATTTATGTTCTCCAAAAGCTAAAAGTTTGCTTCTTGGAGAAGCCCATATTTCAAATGTACTTCCCTGGAAAAGACTCGGAGCTTGTTCCACATTGCTTTTGGGTTTTGGCAAAAAGTACTTTCTATAGCAGAAATAGACAAAAGGTGCTCTTGGGAATCACAGAAGCCCTTGTAGAGGTCCCTAGATATGTACCTATCTGAGGAAGCCCTTCCAAGTGAATATGCAGGAAGACTTGAATTTTACAAGAAATTTTTCATTTTCTTCTAATAAAACCGCTACTAACAAAAGCTTTATTGAGTAAGAGCGCTTCATACAAAAGCATTTCCTAACTGATCCTTGTCACTGGTATGCAAAACAAACCTTAAGTACTTGGAACATAAGCTTTCTTTTTGGGCTTTGGTTTTGGCTCAACCTTTACCCTCTTCAAGATATCCTTTTTATAAACTTTAATTGAAGCATGAAAGCCCTTCACATAGTACAACTAAAGAACTCCACAAAAGTGCTTTTGGACACCCAGAAGTTACCCCAACCAGGCCCTTAATCTGACTAATATGTGAAACACCTACAACTACTAATCTAGCCTAACATCATTCTGCTCCGTGATCTACCTTGTAAGTGGATAAGAAGGGCTGCCTGTATCCACCTAATAAATCATCTGATTTTCTGCATTACGTATGATACGCTTGTACCCACCAGCTTCTTTCCTCTTGATATATCTTCTAACTTCACGTGGTTCTTTAGATTCCATTTTACTCAAAGTAACCACTTCCTTCGATTTTGAGGAACATAATAAAATGATCACATATCTCCTTAAGGAGATGGAGATAAATCATAATGTAAGAGAATTTATTCATGGACGTGCATCCTTTACTCAGAAAGATGGTGTTGTGATCCCATAGTTTGGTTCTTTCATCTGTTGCTGAGGGGCCATTATCTAGTGGAATGGTATATCTCATACTGTCAAGCGCAAGCTCGCGTCTTCAATTCTTATCACTTTATACCAAAAGAACAAAGTTAATAGTTTATTTCAAAGAAACCTGAAACTTATATGGTATTGACCTTTTTTGGTCAATCAAATGATTCACCATCTCTCTCTATATAAAAAGGACCATCAATAATGCAGCAACAGTACCAAGGACCAACCAAGATCTAATTCATGCCTTAGAACAAATGTTAGCCATATATTCAAATCTAGACCCATAAAAAGTAATCAAGCCAGAGGTCTTAGCACAGGTGGTCGTAAAAGAGAATAAAGGATGAGAAATAAATAGGTCATTGGTCTAGATTTTCCCCCTCGGGAGAAAAGGGTAATGATATGGAAGAGGAAGAAAATACATACCAAACAAAGGTTTACAATGACATTCAACAAATAATACTTTCCAATACAGTAGAAACGAGAGTGGAGAGATTAGTAGTTAAGAAGCTAGGTCAAGTAATAATCATTGGCTAAAGTGAAATTTTGTAACGCATTAGGGCATCCTATTAGTACCCAGGACAGGTTAATATTATTTTCCTGCCCTCGACAGTAATCATAGGATAACTATTTACTTTATTTTTTTCTTTCCTGAGACTAGTATATATGTTAAAATGCAAGAAAGTGTTCTTTGTGCGTGTGTGTGTGCGCGTCGCTCAACACACAATCACTTAGCATAGGTGTGAATGTGACATTTTCGCAACCAAAGAAGATAGGTGAATTAACGGGCGGTTCTGTCAGCTCACATGTCACACTCACACCTTAATAAAGAGAAATAAGATGCTGACTACAATTCAAATCATAGCAGCACATATAAAGCAAAGAAAAGAAAATGAACCTTACTCAAGCTTTGACATCAAACTTTCGGCTTCTCTTAGAGCTGAACTTACAGCATAAAGTGTCATCTTTCTCACCTGTTAAACAAGGAAAGAGAAACCAACATAACCTAAGAGGTACATAAGGTAGTCATGGACTCATAGTGTGGTTAAGGTGCATTTTCTTAATGTATATTGATGCCTAAAATCTACTACTAATTATGAGTGAAGTAACCAGTGGACAATTTACAGTGTCGACTAATTAAACTAAAATCTAGTCAACATCAATACCAAAATCCCTTTAATCACATAGTTACTAGCCTCTTGACACAAGCTTCAATGCATGCCAAGTGGTTTTTTATACTGTGTATTAAAGAACAAATGAAATTTAGCGGAAACAAAAAGCGGCAGTTATTTTAATCTAATTAAATTAGTTTACTATTTTACCCTTCTTAAATAAGAATTACTTTTTTTTACAATTTTATTTTAATAAAGGGCATCTTTGAAATTTCAAAAGTTACATCAAAACCCGAACTTCTCCCTTTACTATTAAAAACAAATACATGAACTTTAAAATTTTGGATTACGTCCGTTAATCACCATGAAACCCTAGTAAGAAGAGACAAACTGTCAATTGCATTTGGGCAGCCTCCTTAACAGTATTCTAGTACAATTAAGTAAAAGTAGAATACTTGAGATGTGAAAAATCAATGTTTATGACGTAGTGAAAGACATGAAAATAAATTGATACCTCCAATTTGTCTTCCTTGGCTCTATGGTTTTTTGGGAGCAAACGGAACTCTTCAGTCAATCGAAGACATTCTTCAAGACTCTCAGGAGATACAAAATCAAGTGCTACCTTTATGCAAGACTGAGAGGAATCAAATAAAAATAAATTCAAATGAGGGAAAACTAATAAGAGAGGAACTTAACCAAATCTTTGAAGTCTAGAAGAAAGCCACAAATATTTTTAATACAGAGTAGAACAGAAAGGTATAACTTCAAAAATTGAATAATTTGTTCAAAATGTATAATTAGTATTTACTTGTGTATTTCTCACTTGATGAGGACATCCTGCGGGAATAAAAACTGCCTCACCAAGGTATTGCGTAAATGTCCAAGGCTCCACATCTGCATTTAAAATCACACATCAATTATATTGCAGTCGAAGATTGCAACTTATCAAGATTAATTGAAGTAAAAACTAGATAAGATTCTTACTGAACTCCTGCTTTAGTTGTTTCTTATGTCTCTCATTTAAGTAAAGAGTCTGATCATGAATAGGATGAACAACCTAAGACAAAACGCATTACACATGCTCAGGAACCCTCTTGTACAATGTACATATAGCATAGTGACAAATACTAGGCTTGAAACTTACAGAATCTACAGGATGATTATTAATGTGGCGAAACTCTTTCTTGTGTTTATCCAAGTACTTTATTAACTTGGGAACATCCTGGTTGCGAAAGATGTCCCAAACAGCACCACCATGGGCAGCGTCTAACCCATCATTACTTTCAAGAGAATCCTTTGTTTGCCTCACGTTTGACTTTTTTATATCATCAACTGTGTTATTGCCTGAGAAACAAAACCCTGAAGCATCTTTCCCTCCAAGCCTCCCAATCATCATGTCACTGGAACATTGAACATGTTCTTGCTCTGCTTCAACCTTATTTGTATGAGGCAAGGCGGATTGTATCCGTTCACTCCTCTGATGATCAAGACTCAGAGTATCAGGAGATTCCGAAACATACTCTGTTTCTTCATGTCTGACAATGCCACCTAGATCCACGGAATCTGACAACTGTTCCTGTTTTGGCATTAGATGGTCACTCTCCACAATGTTCTCACTTTTAGTACATTCCGCAGAATCAGCACTCATGATCTGCAGTTTGTGAGTTTTCTTCAACGATTTTCCTCTAACTCTCCCATTGTCGTCATCTCTTTCATTGTAGAGTTCACACAAGTCTTCAGCTTCATGCTTGCTCTGCAAACCTTCTATTTTTTTCTGCTGCCAAGGAGCGATCTTCACTCTTGTTGTGTGAGTCAGAACGTTTACCTAATCCCAAATCAAATAACTGTTGGTTAAACCCTGTTTAAATAACTATATCGAAGGTACAAATAGAATAAAATAAAATTTAAAAAAGCGTTGTAAAAAAACTGTTAGACCATATTAAATGACATTTGAAGTACAATTACAAATTCAATAACCACAGAACATATAAGTCAATATTCAAGTTACATAAATTTGTACAAGATCTCAAAGAACTTCCACTCACTAATCCCACCTCCAAGTTCCAATCCAGTTAGCATTTATAGTGTAGTCAGTGTGCCATAAGTGTAAATTGTTAAGACATGATGAGATGAAAAAGGAAAGAAAGAGAAAAAAAATATTAATATTAATATTATTCAGGTGAAAGTTCAATGACATGGAACATAGCCGTGATATCACATAGGTAGATGAAGCTAGCATGAGAATTAAGCCAGAATTGTCACAAAAGCTATGATTTGAGCACATGGTCTGACATGTAAACTGCCAGAAGTATCTTTACTTGAACTGATCTTCACTTATAAAAGAACCATGGCTATTGAGATAATTATGGAAATGATGACCATGTGTAAACAGTCCACACCTTGATAATTTGGCACTTTTTCAACACAAATGAACGTAGGTTAATTTTAAGCATCCAAAGCAGCGTACAACTTGGGTGGACATGAGTTTGTGTCCTTAAGAGCCCAATCATAGCAGAAAAGCAATAACCAATATCTTCATAAGGAAGATTCATAAAGAGTGATTGAAGTATTGACTCAAAGAAATCAACCGTGAGGTCAAAGTAAAGATCATAAGAAGAAAACCAGAAGAATTTCTAATGAAAGAAAGCAAGCTATATCCAGTGTAGTTAGAAACAGGGTGTTGGGAGCCGACAGAGAAAGTAACCATAGTCTTAAGATAGACTAACTGCTAAACCCAAAGGTTGATGACCTTCTAACTTCCATGACTGATGTGTGGGAGGGAAATAGTCATTCTCATCCACTAAAAATTTATCTTTTAAATTACCCAACTTCGCGCATGATAACAGCTGAAAAAAAAAACACAATCAAATTTGGTATTTGGATAACATGATCACTAAGGACACATCAAGAAAAGGATAATAAAAGTAACAAAATGGTCAAACCAAACTCTCCCAAGCTTAAGCGGGCATTTACGACCTAATAAAAAACATTGTAGTGAGAAAACATTACCGCATCAGACATATCACAGTGTAACTTTGTTACTGAATCGCCTCTACCAAGCTCTTCAGAAAATCCATAGGCAATGTATGTTTTCGGTCCCATATCAGGTTTCAATGAATCAACAGGAAGTTTTGTAGCAAGATTGAGACAACCTATGCCTGAATCTTTTGGATCAGTATAGTCACTGTAGGGGAGTGCTGCGATAAATTCAGCACAATGCCTTGGCAGTCGCTCCTCAAATAAAGTTGATGAGGGCCAATCCTTCAATTTCAACATCTCTGGCCACCCACTTTTATGTACACGACCCTCTAAGTAGCCCGTGAAAAATTGGTGAATATTAATTTCAACCTACATGAAAGTGAAATGTCAAGAATTTCAATTCTCATAGCAGCAGATGTTTTAAAACTCTTCTCATTATCTATGAGTAATTTAGCTAGTTTTTTATAGCTACCTCACACCAATCCCAGCAGTCAATGGCCTTCACACTTCGTGTCTCCTCTTTAAACTTTACCTTGGCACCTGTTTCTCTAAAAGCCCTCCACATGACCATAGGTTCCCAACTAAGACCAGATGTCTTGTCAAGAACATTTCTGACTATCACAGGTTCCCCATTCATCCAGTGCCTCTGAAAATGCTCAATTTCATCATCTGCAATGTCAACAGCACTTGGACAGTATAAGAAGTTATCATCACTGTTTTTCCTGAACGCCGCCTGCCTCACTTCAGACTGTAGGTCATTATTTTCCTCGGAATCATTCAGCTGGCACCAGGAGCATCGTTGAGACATATCGATATCTTGCTTCTTGAAGTCACTAGTAACATCCTCTGCACTTTTTAACAGCTTTGTTACCCAATTAGCTTTACATTTGCGCCTCAATTCCAGCTTTACCTTACCACAACCTCCACATTCTTTTGGAGGACATGGAATGCTCCCATCAGGATTAGCTCTCCAGTTAGGAAAAGAAGGAGGCACATCAGTTTTAGAATCAACAGCAGCAAGGGTAATTTGGTTCTCCCAGCCATGTCTTTTCCTTTTCAAATTAGTATTGTCCTCGCTTTTAGTCACTTGTTTCTGAGCTCTTTCCACTGATTGTTGGTGAGATGTTTCTGATTCACTACCTCCAGGTTGGCAGCCTTTCCTTAGCTCTTGGCAACAAGTAAGACAGAGATCGTAGGAACAACGGAGGTTGGGGCAGCTTCTGTGGAAATCAACAATAGATGTATAGCAATTGTCGCTGTCATACAAGAACGCATGCATTGTTATGACAATATGTGAAGGTTCCATAAATAAAAACACAAAAACAAATGTTTTCTGCTAAAAAATGTGCACGATCTATGGACTGCATATAAATAAGAATATGAAATAGGACAATAATTAAGAAAAGGGTATCAAGATATGCATGTAATATATGGGAGTCCAGCCACAACTTTAAACCTCCTATGTGTCTAGTGAAAGAACTCTAACAATTTACTATTCTTCTTATTGATAACAGGCAGGGATGTCGGAAACACCATACCAAAAATATTACTTAGCTAGGACCACCATTTTCTATAAATTCAAATGATGTTTATGGATTTTGCTTCAGCTTTGAAGAATAAGTGAAAGTGGAGAACAGACCATAGACAGTTTGGTGCCTCAAAAAAATCATTTCTTGACACCTAAGACCTCTCTAGTCCTTAAAAACATTTCATTGTAGTATCTAACACTTGAATGACAGGAATTTAAACTAAGCACAAATTCTTGTAGATTCACTACAGACATAATGACAAAAGATATTCGATAAAAGATGCTAAACGAAATGCATTTCTCAGTTTAACTGTCAGGGAGCCTGGACTTACCAGTACATACGTTCACTTTGATCTATTTTAGTTCTCGTTATGTCCATTTCACTCAACTGAACACCTACCAAAAAAACAAAACACAACATGAGATAAACAACAATCCTCGGCCAAGGAAGTAAAAACTACATTTACTAGAATCTCAAAAAAGGTCACCTCGTATTTTGGCTTCAATCTCTAGTTCAAAGCTCTGCTCAGTATGAATATGCCTCAGAACAGGTAAAGCTTTATATAGCAAGTACTTCAGCCGCTGTAATTTGACACTGGGCTCAACTTTCATGTTGCAAGGCTGTCGAAACAAAAAAAACCATAGGGGAGGGGGAGAGAGATTAGACTCAAAACTTGGTAGTTTCAGATTAAAGTGCAGAGAGACTGCGGGAAAGAGAACCCACTTTCTTAATAAACTGGCGCAAGCAATCTTTGCAGTTGCAGTTGCGACAGCAAAATGGGCAATTCTTCGCTATTTCCTCTCTTGTCTTCCCAGGGTACCTATCTCAATATTGAACCATGCAAAAACTAATGAAAAGCCCTATCATTCGAAACCAATACATCAAAAGATAACAAAGGCTTGCAATTATGGACAAATGCAAATAATGCAAACACAATGAGCTCACTCAAATTAAAATTGTCAACCATCTTAGTCCTTACTTACCATCTTTCAATGCACTCGAAGCAAAATCGCTTTATCTTACAATTAGAACAGTGGACAACGCCACTCTTGTCGTTCCGCTGACACTGGTGGCACATCAAGCTCACACGCTGCTCCGTCTTCTTGTTAGGCTTCTCCTACAAAACCCAAAATTTTCATTTTCGTTCATTTCTCAGATAACTTAGAGCAGCACAAAAAAAAAATTGAGGAAAAAGAATCAAAATTTGGATATTTCACCTCCTTTAATTTGCAATTCTTCACAGGATTCTCGGAACCGCTGTCTCCGTCTGATCTTTCTCTCTGAATTTTCTTATTCCTAGTCTTATTCTTGAGCTGCGCCAAGTGCTTTTCACAGTTCTTCATAGGATTATCGGTATCGCTGTCTCCTTTGGGTCTTTCTCTCTGAATGTTCTTATTCTTAGTCTTACTCTTGAGCTGCGCCAAGTGCTTTTCACAGTACGACTTCCCCAACGACGCCGTTTCCCTGCACCGCCACTTTTGACCATCGCTGCGCTTGCACCGGCGATCATCTGCCTTCGATTCCATCGTCGAAGGACAGATCGTGTTCGGAAATCAACGGCTGTTATTGCTCTGGAAAGTTACGAACTGCAAAGTGTATCGACCATCTGATTTCCGCGGTTAGGTAGGCAATGCAAATAGGAATTGGATATTTGGATGCCTTATATTTATAGTCATATTATTTTATCAATTTTCTTTTCGATAAGTGTACGTTATTTATAACGTCTTGTTTCGCTGGTCACGTGTAAGTGTAACACGTGTTATTTTTTTCTTAAATAATTTCCATTTGGATGATTTCATAATTCTTGTTTCGCTGGTCACGTGTAAGTGTAACACGTGTTATTTTTTTTTTAAATAATTTACATCTATGCACAAGCTCCACCACTCTTCATATTAAGTTTTAGAAAAATACAAACTTCTCTACATCATATTGCCGAATTACTCTTCTTTTTAAAGATATAAAACGTTGAGGAGCCTCTCTCTTTAAAATCTCCTTGGGAGTTGATGGAAAGGCTTGTTGATTGCTTGGTTGTAATGATCTTATTCTCTTCCCTTTGTTTATTGCTTTGTTGTTCTTATTTTTTATTTAAAATTTTATATTTACTTGGACTTCTTATATGCTTAAAAGTAAGTTGTAGACAGGGACGGACCCAGGATTTCAAATTGGGGTGGGCTAAATTTACATTATGCACAAACCTAGAAAACTCGACTCGAGTGAATTTCATTGATCACAAAAAAGATATATGTACTAGATGAATTTTATGGGGGAAAACTCATTATGTCCTCTTGATTAGGATATATCTTTTTTGTTTTCTACGAGTAGGAGTGTGTGAAGTGAAGACTATGTTATTTTCTATCAAAAAATAAACTAGGGGTATTTTCAACCAAAAAATGGGGGCTTAGCCTTTGGCCCTTTTTGCACCAAAAATAAATAAAAAAGGAGAAGGTTTAGGGTTGAGTAACTGGCCCTGACTTATATCTTAATATTTCTAGTGCAAAATTGCAAAAAAAAAAAAAAAAGGCCAAAAACAAAACAAAACGAATGACCATAGACTCATAACAGTGGAGCACCCAAGTGGCCCACAACCAATAAAAGAGTGCAGTGCGTGGTTGTTTATTGGTTGGGCTGAGTATATTATTTTAGGCTGAAAAAAGACAAAGTTACATGGGCTATAGCCCAAGTTAGCCAAAGGGTAGGTCCGTCCCTGGTTGTAGATGATTACTGTACTTTCGTGTAAGTGAAATTTGTTCTTGCCGAGGTAAGTTGCACCTTTTTGTCTACAATGCAAATAAATATCTTCTCATTTAATTTCTAATTTAGAAATCTTTATTTGGTCTAGGATCTCTTTCCATTGACAGTAAACGATACACTGTAAGAGTTAGCAAGTCTATTTGGCTTGGAGCAAGCACAGAGACCTTCATCTTCTTCTCAAAAAATAGGGGGCTTCTTCATCTTTTCCCCCACTATTTAGTTTAGATATATGCTTTTTCCTATAATTTGTAGTAAGAAGATAGTGAGGTTTAAATAGAAAAACTCATTTATTTATTTTTTTCCAACTTGGGGTGTATTTAAGGGTAATTTGGGAAGATAGTGGGGTTCTCTTAGAAATTGTGAAAATTTAAATTAGAAGTTGGGGTAAACTTGGAACATGGGGTGAACAAAGAGAAGTGTGGGGTTTAAATAGAAAAATAATGTTTTTAATCTAGAGAAAGAGAGAGAGAGAGAGAGAGAGAGTTATTTATCTATATATATAAAGTAAAAGGCAGAGAATGGTGAAACATTCAAAATACCAGAAAATGCCCTTAGTTAATGCAAACATTAAGAATTAAAATTATTAATTAAATGAGGATAATATGGTAAATTCACACTTTTTCATATTTAAAAAAAATTAAAATTAAAAGAAAAATCAATAATGGATCCTATTTTTATGAGACACAACTACCCATTATCTTTTTTAATTCTAAAAAAAATTTAAATTTTTTTAAAAAATGACTCTCGTGTGCGAAGTGGCTAGTGAAAAATAGCATATTTTGATACCTATCCAGTGCTCTTGCTCTTCAGAAATCTAATCTCCTCGATTCCAAACGTTTCGATGGGAAGGATTATCATTCTTGGGCAAAACAGATGGTGTCTACGCTAAGGGAACTACGGTTAGAACATGTGCTTTTTGAGCCATGTCCAAGCATTCTTCCATCAAAGGCTGCCTTTAAGAACACTCTTATCATGATGGGGAGACTAGCCTTGCTGTTCATAAATGTAATCCTCTTGAGATTGCTCGTTTCGATGGGAAGAACTACCTTCTCTGGGCAGAACAGATGCAGTCTATACTAAAGCATTTTCAGATGGAGCATCTGCTGTCCGAGCCATGCCCAAGATCAGAGGCTGCTTTTGAAAAATGGATGCATGCTGATCAAAGGAGCAACTTTGTGTTGAGCTTTTTGTGAACCACATAAGTTGTTTTTTTTTTGGGTCAATCCTCCGATCCCTAAGGCTCACTAGTTAGGATTCTTGTACCTATTGGGAAAGCAACACTCCACTTTCTATATATATATATATCATTCGTTTTGGTAGATATGGAGAACAAGAGTTTCAAACATGGCCTGAGAGTTTCAACCGATTGGGAATACGAGGTGAAAAACAAACCCTAATTTCTATGTTTGGTTGCTTAGAAAGTGTAGGAAATGGAAGGGATATTGAATTATATAATAATGGGTTTCTTTAATCCATGTTACTTGTAAAGAATCCAAATTTAGGGTTTGCTTGTTTGTTTTTTTCAGAAAGATATAGACTTTTTTTGGATGATGAAAAATTGCAGGCAAAAAACTGAGAATTTTATATTTGACTGGTAGAAAATTACAGTTTTTTGTTTTGTTTGATTAGCTATCAAACAAGACAAGTGTGGTGGTTCATAATGTAGGAGGGCTAACTTTTGTGTCAATTGAGCAATTTCATCAAATTGGTGGAAGTCAAGTTCCCGTTGGCAAAGGTATCTGTCCACAGATTATACTAAAAGCGGGAGCAAAGTTTAAAGAACTTGTTGTACAAGTAAATACTAGAAGAAATTATCTTAATTTTTAAATGGTTTTTATTTCTTTATTTAAGGCAAAGGGTTTTTATTTTGCGAACTAAATTTGTAAATTTTGTACTACATGGGAGAATTGAAAATCTTCCACAACCCTAATGGTACATATGGTTAGGCAAGCGAGGCTTAGCAATGGCCATCAAAGGTTGGCCCTTGGGCATAGTCATCCCATAAACCTCTTTGGTATCAATATCTTGAGGCCTCAACCCATCTGGCGGGGCCCAATCAAAACAATGAAAAAGTCGAGCCAATGCCATCAAAACCAGAGTCACTCCAAGTGGCGCGCCGGGACACTTTCTCTTTCCAGCACTGAACGGCAAGATCTTGAAATCGGCTCCATGGCTAATCTCAACTCGGCTCCCATCAGCAAGCCAATGCCTTCCGGGTCTAAACTCCTCCACATTGTCCCATATCTTGGTGTTTCGGCCTAGTCCATGAGTATTGATGAAGACACGCGTCTTGGCGGGTATGTAGTAACCATCGATCCACGTGGCACGAAGTGATTCATGCGGGATGAGGAAGGGTCCAGCTGGGTGCATGCGAAAGGTTTCGCGTACAACGCATCGTAAGTAGTTAAGATGGGCTAGGTCTGATTCATGGACCATTCGGTTTGGACCGACGACAGAATCGAGCTCTTCTTGGATCTTACGAAGTACACGTGGATGCTTGATCACCTCAGCCATTGCCCATTCGTTGGTCACAGCTGAAGTGTCCGTGGCAGCGGCTATCATATCCTGAAGAAATTCATAATAATTTTTTAAATAAATATTAGATAATTAAAACAAAATATGGTTCTTATATGAGTTGAGTTATAATCAGTCGTTTACGTGTATTTAGGCAATTTCTGACCATTGATCGATATGAGAATCACATTTCATCAACGATTAGAATTCACTCTTAAGCGCATGGGGTATTGACATTAGCAAAGTCCTTCTAATATTATTGGAAAAATATTACCTGAATTAGAGCTTTGATTTCCACATCATCCATGTGTTCTTTCCCATCCTCACCTGGCAAAGACAACAAAACATCAACGAAGTCCATTTCTCCTCCTTCCTCCCCGGTAGTTTTTTTTCCCTTCTCCTCCCTTGCCCTCCTCCTATGTTCTTCAATAATGTTGGTATGAAAATCATCCACTCTTTTCTCCACTTCCCTCATTTTCTTCTCACACCCATAAGGATCCACCCACCTCCAAATTGGCAAATAATCACCCAAATATATCAACCCCAACAACCAAAACAACTCATGGGTTATGTGCATGAACTCCATGGCCTCTTGTGGGCCTGCCGACCCAGCCCCAAAATACTGCTTCCCAAGTAGCATCCTAGTCACATTGTTCATTGAAAACCCACCCAACACGTCCCTCAAGTTCACCGCCTTCCCCGTTTGAGCCATGGCCCAAACATCTCGAACAAGGTGTTGGGCCTCTTCGGCCCGATGCCGTGCGAAAGAGTCAAGCCGCTTCGTTGTCAGCAAGTGCTCCATGCATATCCTCCTCATTCGCTTCCATTGCGGCCCGAACGGGGCAAGTGCCACGTCACCACACCCATAGGCCAAATGAACAGCAGCAAGAGTTCTTGGTCTGGATGCAAAAACCTCATCTTGTTTGAGAAGTATTTCCCGGATGATATTTGGGTCATTGGTTGTGATGGCATCAACGCTACCAAGTTTCAGGTAGACGAGAGGCCCATATTTGTCACATAAAGAGGCTAGGTCCCTATGTGGAAGTGGGCCCAACTGGAGCAAGTTGCCCAAGATAGGCCATCTTGGTGGGCCTGGAGGAAGCTTTTGGGGTTTGGGTGAAGATCTGCATTTCAGCCTTTGGTATATGATGCAGGCAATGATGGCTGCAAAAATGAGAGTTATATGAGAGGTGTCTAAATCCATGTATAAAATTGTACAGGGAAGGAAAAGCTTGGGCTTATGAATCTGTTTATAAACTTAATCAATGGGAAGGTACAAGATTGGCCGGCCAACAACATTTTTGGGTCAAACCATGCTCTTTATATGGCATGTATTGTTGGTTATAAGTGATGTTGGCATGTTATTCAAACATTTGGTGACTAGAATATTTACCAAGAACAAAGAAATGAGTTTTGTATGTTTTGCTAATGTATTAGAATAAAGGTAGAAAAACAGTACCAAGAATATGAGCCTTTAAATTAGGTGAAGACCTAGGGCTATTTGGTAGCTTATTTGTTATTTCTTTTTGTAAAAAAATTTGGATGCTTTCCATACTCGGCCTACGGAACGAACTCACTTAATACATGTACACACAATTCGAATTTAAGTTAATTTAAGTAAACTTGTAACATCACGTGACATTCTCGACCGTTATTACAGTTTTAAAAGTTAAAGAAAAAAAATTCAGAGTTATCATTGTGACTCCAAAAAATTTCTCATGCATAAGCTCTTGTCAAAAGAAAGAAAAAAATTTAGAAATTGTAAGTACTATGATTACCGTGACAATAATCTCATATTTTTACACCCACCAACAAAAAGGAGAAAAAAAATAAAAATAAAAACAAATGTCTGTGTCTGAACTCTCCTCCACTCCCCCTCTAATTTAACCTCACAAAATCAAAACTCGTTCTTAGCATTTTCTAAGAAAATCATAATTTTCCGAGAAAACCAGTCGGAAAATGGACTCTGAAAGTCGACGGAAAATCGAGGATACGGTTTTGGACATATTGAGAAGAACCAACTTGGAGGAGATGACTGAGTTCAAAGTCCGAGAGGTAACCTCGGAGCAACTCGGAATCGATTTCTCTGATACAGAGCACAAGAGCTTCGTGAGAAGCGTGATCGAAAGGTTCCTGCTTTCGGCTCCGGAGCCCGAGGTGAACGCTCGGGAGGAGCTCATGGAGACTAATGTGCAAGAAGAGCAGGGCACGAGGTCGAAGAAGGAGGTGAATGAGGATGGACACCGTGTTATTTGTAAGGTAAAACCCTAATCTCTGTGTTTGGCTGCTCAGAAAGTAAAGTTTAATTCTTTAATAATTAGTTTCATCAGTCTTAACTTTCAGGTGAGTGTTTAGTAAAGTGAAGCAAATGCAACTATTGGGCTACAAAAATGTTGTTGACACTCAAATGTGAATAAAGAATTGAAATTTAGTGTTTTTTTTTCTGTTTATTTGTATCATTTTTTGAAAAAGTTTGTATATATTTAAAACAACACTAGATTCTAGTTGGTTGATGAGAAATGCAGGCAAATAACCAAGAGAAACTGGGATTTTATAAGAACACAATCATTGCTCCAAATTGAGAAATTCAGAACCTTTTTTTTTCTCGCACTTTGATCATATTTTGTGTGTCTATGTATCTGTGAGACTCTGCGTTTGGATTTCTGATCTGAAGTTTATTTGTTTCATTAGCTTTCTAACAGGAAAACTGTGGTGATTAACGATTTCAAAGAGAAAACTTACGTGTCCTTTAGAGAATTTTGTCAAAAAGATGGAAAGCAACTTCCTACTGCCAAAGGTGACCCCATATCTGTGAAACTGCTTTATATTTTTTTTATTGGTCGCGTTTGATGTTTTCATCATTCACATCGCTTTCCTGGTTATTGATAAGAAATAATTTATTTTATTTACTGTGTTGATTATAGTCCTAACAATATGTATTGCTTGCATAATCACATACTTATGTTCTATATTGCAGTCCATTGCCCTGTATCTTTCTGTATATTCAATGCTTTTGTTTTAATAGTGATTTGTATTGATGTTATACTTTCAGGAATTAGCTTGCCAACTGAACAATGGGCAACGTTCAAAAAGAGTGTCCCTGCAATAGAGGAAGCCGTTAAAAAGATGGAATCAAAGATAAGGTGAGAGTATACTGTTGATAATTTGTTTGAGTGCTGATCTGGACTCTTAAATCCCTTTTATTAGATTTCTGCTCGTATTCACCTTTATCTTGAGCAAGTCGATTCGGAGGCTTCTCCTTGATAACTCTTTTGTCGCTGGAAAGCAGGTAGTTGAACTATTGACTGACTTATAATTAATTATAATGCAGATCTGAACTTGACAGTAAACGAACTGAAAATGGTAAGCAAACTGAAGATGGTAAGCAAACGGGAGACGGTTTGCAAACTGAAGACATGTCTAATTCATTAAATTGTATTGCTCCGCAACAACTTGTTACCATTGAGACTAGGCGTTTTGATGGGAAAAACTACCCGTTCTGGGCGGAACAGATGGTGCTTCTGTTGAAGCAATTAAAGATTGCATATGTGCTCTTTGAGCCATGCCCAAGCAGTATGCTTGGCCCGGAAGCAAGTAGTGAAGAAATTGTTCATTCAAAGGCTGCTGACCGGAAATGGGTGAATGATGATTCCGTGTGTCGTCGTGGCATCTTAAACGCTCTATCTGATGATCTGTTTTATCTTTACTCAAAGAAAACCATGACTGCTAAAGAGCTGTGGGAAGATCTAAAGCTAATATATCTTTATGAGCAATTTGGAACAGATAGAACTCGAGTTAAAAAGTACATCGAATTTGTGATGCTTGAAGGGAAATCAATTGTGGAGCAAGTTGAAAATTTTAATAGGCTTGCTGATTCCATTGTAGGTTCTGGAATGATGATTGAGGAAAAATTTCATGTCAGTGTCATCATCTCCAAACTCCCCCCGTCTTGGAAGGATGTGTGCATTAAGTTGATGCGTGAGGAGCATCTACCTTTTGCAATGTTGATGGAACGTTTGAGGGTCGAAGAAGAGATGCGTATTAGGGAGAACCAGGGAGCACCTTTTGACCTAGTAGGTGATCTAGCAAGGAAGTACGCACCAAGGCACAGAGATATGAAGCCACGAAGTATGCAATGGAAGAGGCAAGAATTGGAGACAAATGGCAAAGTTATTTGCCAAGTTTGTGGCAAGAAGGGGCACATCTCTCAACATTGTCGTTATCGTAACAGGAAGGATGACAAGGAAGGTAATGATATGGAACATGAGGGAAATGGATCAATGCCTGCAATTATGGAGGTCAACATGTCTGAGAGGGCAGCGGAATAGCTAAATTCCATACAGCTTCCCTCCCATCTCATTTGCATTAACAGCATTTTTAACTTACAGAGTTAGCAAGTACAAAGGGAATGTGTGATATTGTTCCGAAGACAGGCATGGGGCTTATGTTCAGGTGAAATTGGTATCAGGTGATAGTCTGCATTAGAGGATAAATGTGGGGTTTGCACCCATTTCTTGTAAAGCAAGGTTTTGAAACTGATCTGTAGTTTTGTACCATAAGTTTTTCTTTTTAAATTTATTGTAAATGCATACCATTCTTTCCGAAAAGCGTATGTTGGTGTTGGTTCATGAGATTCATTTAGGTCTGATGTTGTGAAATTTTGCATACAAAGAATGTCTACAGTTGCTCTCCAATGTACTTATGCGACATCTATTGCTTCTCTTTTGCAGTTGTGTTCCATAGAAATCAATTTGATGAAGTTGGATATATAACTGATACATAATTAACACGTGAAAGTTACACCACCATCTTGGCCATGGAGAGTATATTGAAGGGAAAAGTAAAAACTGAAAAACTGGAGTGTCAAAAGATAAAAAATGAGACAATAAATATACGGGCGTTTGATACACATCCAATAAGGGGGGAAATGTCGTTCCTTCATGTTTATATTGTTCATGCTAAGGAAAAAGAATCCACAATTTTTAAAGTCACAAACCAACTTGGCCTGAGGATGTACTGATTGTAGCTAAAGCCAACCAACCAAAAAACAACAGAAGGAGAGAATCAATACATTTTGCTGCTTTTACAATTTGATACAAAGACAGCACATGAAGCAGGAACTTAGAGATGGAAAAAAAAAATTCCAAGCAATCTGCTGATATGCCACCATCTTGGCCTGCATGCTTCTGTTATAGCCAACACAAGAAAGTGTTAGTAATATTCAAATATTGTCTAGAATTGCAAGAGCTTCAGGACACCAATCATGATGGTTTATGCATGGATAGTTGATACGCATCCAACATCTTGAATTACTAACAATATGGAGGGGCAACAATCTTTCATGACCTTAACAGAAATGTCCTTTAAAATAATAACATGGGGGAATTGCCGAAACAAAATGCCAAAATATGGAGCATAGAAGCTTAGATATTGACTTGAAATTTTAAGCACAATGAAATTAGAATCTGATCCTTTGAGTTTCATTCAAACGCTACAGTTTTCTGATTAAATTTGCAAAGACAGAGGTTGTACGAATCAGTGCTTACAGTCTTCAAGAGATCCTTAGGCCAGTACCCGCTAAAAGGAAAACCCACAGAATCACACCTGTCTGGTGAAGTTTGCCTTAGCGAAGTCCAACAATTCTTGTTCTCTTTGCATATCCTCGGTAACATGAGATCGCTCCCATTTCAGCTTCTTGATCATATCCTCAGTTTCAAGGTATTTTGCAGGCATACTAGATTCTCCAGAGGTTGCAGGAAATTTGACCTCTATATCTTTCCTGAGAGTAGATAACACTTCTATAAGAAGAAGAAAAAAAACATAGCAATAAACAAGGTTTTTGAGAGTTTCATTTAGTTCCAAACTAACCTGCTTCCCAGGATGAACACGCCACTCTTTTTAATAACCCCGCCATCTAAAGACAGTGCTCCATCATTTATGCATGGCAGAGCAAGACGCATCTCCGCTCTGGTTCTATATATTTGGAGGCGAGAAAAGAGGCTATAGAATAGTGTCTCTCTGAGACCATGCCCACTGCTGGTGAGACAATCCAAGTTTTTGTCATCCAAATTGATTGTGTTCACTGCATAATCAAGAAAGCCAGGCGGACACTCCCCATTTGGTAGTTTTGGTTTTGGAAGAGCAAGCTTCCTTTGTGGGTCATCAGCAACAAATCCCCCAACATATGGGCTAAAAACAAACAACAGTTAGAAATTTTATAAGCAATAACAACTTGAGAGAAAAAGGGGACAGGTTTCTTGCCTTAAATCTTCAAGACATATAACAAGAAACCGCCCTTTTATGCTCTTCCCAATAGAAGATCCTAGCCCATGTATACCAGCAGTGCTGATTATTGTGCCATCCGCATCATACTTTTCTAGAACCTTAACACCTTCATACGTCCTGCATACAATTGCTAGCATCGTTTCCAGTCCCAAGTATTCTGAGAGAAGCCTAGTTCAAAGTTACAGGAAAGCAGCATGTCAGGCAACTTTGTAAAAGAAAGAAATAGGGTATGTGATAGATAGTGATCTATCTTTCTTCTATATTTTTATACTTTTTACTTAACTTAATGAAGAGCAACAAACGAAATAATAAGTTTTTTTTATATAATATTGTGGTCTTTCTATCTGTACTTTGTTGGAAATGTTGAACTGGGTCATAGATTAATCAGAATAGCAGATCATAAATTTTTGAAAGACCCCATATGAATCCCACATACAAGTTGGGCAAATTATTTGTCTGGTATAAACAAAACTGATGGATTATTTTTGTTATCAGAAATTATATGGGTCACAGTAAGTTTGAGCAGTAGCAGGAAGAAACTCGAGGAAGCAACCTAATAACCCTTATCATGAACTCTATCATCTGGATGATCAATAAAACTAATCAAGAAATATGATCTGAAGAAATTTTGACTTCATCAAGCCAATAAACTCTCTTTCATACGGGATATCACGAGAAAGAGATGGACGACAAGCAAAACAGACCTGCTAAGGTTGTCATCATCTACTCTGCCAAGGGTGGCAACAATGCCAACAATACCCAGAACATCCTTTGTCAGAGCCAAATTCAAAGCCTGAGTTGCGTGAGGAGATTTCAACAGTTTGCACAATAAACTAGCTGCAGATTTCTCATGCCGCAATATCTGTTCTGTTTCATCCTTCTCAGCAAGAGTAGCGCCACTTTCATTTGTTGTTCCAGTTCCATTGGCTGGGAGATGCTTTCCAAGACTCCCTAGACAAAAAAAAACAGAACAATTTCGAATATCACAATGATGTCCAGCTAGTTAATACTGAAGCGGAGGTGGAACTTATTCAATGCGAGTTGAACTTTTAGATCAGAAGAAAATGAATAACCAAGTTTAAAACATTCGTATCAAAAAGCATCATACTTTTAACTGTGATTCATATGGATACTTAGAAGGTGATAGGAAATGAAGAGACAAGAGAATATACATAAGATACGAAGATACCTTGCAAATCAAGTATAGATTCACTCAAGCAGTTTATCTCACTCTGCAGAAATTTAATATTATCTTCATGCCGCTTGATTTCTAGATTAATCTGAAGAATGTTAAAATGAGCTAATAAGAAATTGGTTGTTGTTGGTTCAACATATGGCAGCAGTTTGCAGCAATTACTTGGCATATAAAATGACAACACAAACTGGAGGGACAGTATGACATATTTACAAATGAAAGTACACAACTTTACATATCGAAAATTCACATTACATTGCCCCATTCTCACACCACACTCAACTTCTCTTTGCTCACCAACATTTCAATTATTTAGAAAAAATTAACAAAACCCATATCCAGCATATATATCTCTCTGTTAATAACATTCCAAATCTTTATCTGGGTTTTGCATACCAACTAAAAAAATTAACTCAGCATTGTCCAAAAAATAGTTAACCAATCAATTAAGACTTCATCACAACCACATGGAGCAATCTTACATAATCCCAGTAGGTTTTTCAACTATGAGCCCAATAACAGCAAGAAAGAACAATTAAACATTCTGGGTACTTAGAGAATCCCAAAAAAATAACAAGGGTGACTTCAATTCATAGTGCAAATTGAAAGGGTGGTTCAAGCCAAGAAATTAGAGAAAAGAATATGAGACCTTGTGCTGTAACAAGAAGCTTAAAAAAGAGAAAGCAGTGATGAAGAAATGGAAAGTATGAGAAAGAAACAAAATGGGCAGAGAAGTAACCTGGTGCTGGTGGTTTGATCTAGACATGGCTGCGAAGAAGTTGACTCAGCAGCTCTCTGTTTCGGTCTCTAATTTTGCTCTGTGGAGCTGTCGGATAGTTCAAAACACAGCGGCAGTTTCGTAGGTTTTCTGTAACTGGAACTTTCTTGGCATTTTTTGTTTCTGAATATCGGCCATCAAATCAAATGCATGTCAATTTGAAGTACAATATGAAATTCGTACTTCTTCCCTCAAATATATTTGTATTAAATGAGTTTGGCTAAATTGTTAGCAATCCTAAGTAGAAGAGGTCCAATTCATCGGGATTTAATTTTTAAAATTTTGAACTTTTTATTACGTTTACAAGTGGTCATTGGAGGTTTTCTTTTCCAAAGTGATTATTGGAGTTTATTAGTGTTAAGATTCCGTATTGTTTAAGAGAATTAGCTTAAAATTTAGGGTTATTTTTAGAATGTAGAATTATGATATTAAATCTTAAGATTTAGAGTTCATTAGTTCTTGAATTTCGGTTTTAGAGCCATAACTAAACTTGAGTTTGAAGTGAATAATGCAATTCTAGAAAAAGAAACAAGTAAAAGCACAACTATATAGGTTTAAGGCAAAACGACACTTGTAGTCCTTGTGGTTTCCAACTTTTACCACTAAGGTCCCTGTGGTTTCAATTTCGTCACTTTTGCCACTGTGGTTTAAGAATCCAAGCAATTCAAGGACACTTCTCAATTTCCGTCAGATTTATGTTAGTTCTGTTAGGGCATCAGCACGTCCCCCTCACATGGAGGGGCATTACGGTCAAATCGAAACTCTTCGTCCAGCAACGAGTGCCCCCTCCCACACCCCACCAACCCAGCCAATCTCTCTCCCAAACTCTCACCAAAACACTTCAATTTACCGGAGTTAATCAATTTCTTTTGTTTTTGTTTTAAATTTGGATTTCAAGTTAAAATCCAGTTGTAATTGACTTTTTAAGTTCGGTTCCAAATCTGGGTTTCCAAATATGGGGGCAGATTGGGGTTGATTGGGGATGGAGGTGCGTCGGGGGTGGGAAAGAGAGAGACGAGAGGTGCGTCAGGGTGGGTGGGGGTGTGGGACCCGCGGAGTTCGACCCGTCGGATGTTCTGGTGGTCGACGACATTCACAGCTCTTAATTCACGATTTCGCCTCCGAGAAGTCGCACAGAGGTGAGGAGCGATCCAGCATTTGTTTTCTGGGGTTGAGCCGAGGAGATCTTGAGGTGAGGCGCGATTGTTTGGGAGGCAATGGCTGGAGGCTGACGGGACAGAGGGTGGAGGGTGGGTTAAGGAAGGGAGAAAGGGAGAGTGGGGTCAAAGTTGGATTGGGGAGAAATGGAGAAAGAGATCAAAGCTGTGCATTCCTTTTTCAAACCCCATTAGCCATTCTTCTTCAACTCCTCGAAATCAAACCAAAGCTGGATTTTTTTTTCTTTTCTGGGTTTCGTTAATTTATTTCTTTAATTATTTTGTTTTTCTGGGTTTGATTAATTCTTTTTTCTGGGTTTTCTGGTTTAATTCGTTTTTCTAGGTTCTGTGGTTTTCTGGCTGAGAAGGAGTGAGAGAGAGAGAGGATGATTGGTTGAGAAAAGGCTTTGGTGTGAAAGAAGAGGGCTTTGTGTTGTGGGTTTTAAAGCAGAGAGAAAGGTTGAGCTTTTAGGGAAGAAGAGGTTGGAGAAAACACTTTTCCGTGAGAGGAAGCTACAAATTTCTCATGGGAAATGGCGTGAAAGCTTTAATGGAAAAAGTATGGAGTTGGTGTGGTGATGATGACCAGTATGAGGTTCAGCATCCAAATAGCAAAAATGATGGCTTTGGCTTGGAGAAGTAGGCAATTATTGAATCTTGTATTGTATTCTACTACAATCTGAGCTCTCTCAAAGCTTTTCTTTTTCTCTGAATATTTTTGGGTGCTGGCTTCTCAGAGAAGACGCAGTCACTCACTCTGCAACTTACTATAGAGCAATGCAAGGCTCTTCATTTTTTATTTTTTATTATTTTTGTTATTATTAATATTATTAATATTTTACTGTTTTTGTAATTACAGGGGATTTTACCTTAATGCCCCTCCACTTATTTAATAACTAACGGCAATAGCTGATGCCCTAACAGAACTAAAAGGAATCTGACGGAAATTGAGAAGTGTCCTCGAATTGCTTGGATTCTTAAACCACAGTGGCAAAAGTGACGAAATTGAAACCACAGGGACCTTAGTGGTAAAAGTTGGAAACCACAGGGACTACAACTATTGTTTTGCCTAGGTTTAATTGTGTCACATTTTCGTTTCGGCACCTTTTAAGCACATCCGATCTAGCCAAGGCTAGTCCATATCTTCATATTATATAATTCTCTTACAAGCAAAACTACCATTTCTGACATGGGGTGCAAATGGCCCAAATCTATATATAATATGGCACCTTGGTTTGGCCCAAAGCTTAAAGGCTTTATGCATTTTAAGCCCAAGAATGTCACCCAAACTTGTCATATATAAGTAATAGTTTTAAACTACAAGGGGGAGGGGAGTTTTTCACACTAAGGTATTTTGGAGGTTCAAACTTGGGATTTGGTATGCAAATTAAAGCTATTTTCCACTAAGTTGGACTCCGTTTGTAAACTCAATTTCAATTTTAAATTCAATCTTGTGTTGACAAGTTATATATGATATTTGAAGAAAAAATAATTAATTAATAAAAAAAACAAACTTCACGATAATGATTCCTTTTTGAGAGCTCAGGATAATGAATTTTATTCTTCAGACTGTGGAAACAATTTCAAACACGCTAAGCTAGCTGATATTTGTATTTCTATTGCATTGGAATTGACTGAAAGTCTGAAACTTGTTTGCCAAGTACCATTTTTAGTTGCTAAAAGTCCGCATGAAATCAGTCAAACTCTTCATCTTCTCAGAAATCTTAGGAAATCCCTTTTTCTTAAACTTTACTTTTCTTTGCAACCAATATGGTTGTGGACTAGTGGTAGGCATGCATTTTGACTGTTGAATTCAAGCTACGCATTCTTGATAACATAAAATAAAACATGAGTTTTTCTTCTCAACTAGTCACTGGTCCACAGTTCCATTTAGGCCGCATATCCATGGACTTGGAAAAACTCTATTTATCTTTTTCTTATTTCTTCTATACAAGTATATTTTACTTTTATTTAATCTAAACTATGGGGACCGGGATTCGAATTTAAATGCAAAATGAGGAGCACATCCGCTCTAACTAACTTGGCTAAGCCCTTTTTATTTTCTTTTTTTTCGCAAATAAAACGTCAACATTAAATGGACTTAACCACCACAATTTCTAAATGTGCATAGAGATGTGGGCACAAAAGCAAAACCCTAAACCCCACATGGACTTGTAATCAGCCTTCCCCATTTAGCCATATATATATATATATACCAAACCTGAAAAGATTAGGCACAGAAAGAACAAATGTGGGCATGCGTGTGTTTGTGTTTTGGGGTGCAATCTAATCTGTCAACTTGCACCAAATTGTTCCAAAAGTCTTAGCAAATGAAGAGATAGGCATTTAATTCCACAAGCAAACAATACAGGAACCTAAAGAAGTCTACGCAGATTGGACAAGAGAGCTTCTTGGTTTTGTTCTTTAGCAAAATATGAACCACATATGTTTGGTTATTGTTGCGTAGATACAGCTGCACCAAAATAGATTCAGCTGCATCCTCAACTTGTGATACTCGCAAGTGCACGAGCCGTTCGGTAGTATAGCGTATGTAAGTGCGAGGTCGATCCCACGAGGATTGGTGATTGAATGATTCAATTCATTTTCCCTACACAAAACAGAAATGAAAAAGAAGGGAAATAAATAAAACAAGGAAGAAAGAAAATAACTAACTCAAGCAGATAAGTTCCCAAGTTCAATTAGATTAACGGATTGATTCTAGCTAATGTATGATTAAGCCATGGTGTGTGGTCATAACCTTGTGTTCCTAATTCCCTAATTTGATCATTTGTTGTCTAACCTAAAATTAAGCATTAGGAACCCATTAAGCATAGAAGAACAATTTAAACAAC